CTGTCGGTCTTGGGGCCATACTGTCTCAGATACAAGAGGATGGCACCATACGCAACATTTCATATGCAAGTCGCACCCTTACCCCCACTGAACGCCGCTACTCGCAGACAGAAAAAGAGGCCCTTGCAGTGGTTTGGGGCTGTGAACGCTTCCACTTGTATCTTGTAGGTAAAGAATTTACCCTCTACACTGACAATAAGCCACTTGAACTGATTTATAGCCCTAAATCCAAACCACCACCACGCATTGAGAGATGACTTCTCCGAATGCAGCAGTACCTGTACCAAGTGCAATACCGACCAGGATCGTCAAACCCTGGTGATGTGTTGTCCCGTCAACCAACAGAAACCTGTGAATGGTCTCCTAACACTGCGGACAAGTATATCAACTTTATTGAGAGCCATGCTGTCCCCAAATCAATGGCTCTAGAGGAGATTGCTGCTGAGACAAGTACTGATTCTGAGTTACAAGCTGTGATCAAAGCAGTGCAGACAGGACACTGGTATGAAAAAAATGATCCAAACTGCAGGTATGTTACAGCTTATCATAAATTAAAGGATGAACTGTCTATTACTAACAATGGTATACTTTTACATACGTGACACTCGAATTATTATTCCAAAGTCTCTTCAGAGTAGAACTTTGGCCATTGCTCATGAAGGGCACCAAGGTATAGCAAAAACTAAAGCACTATTACGCCTACGCCGTTAATCATGACTGATATACCATCCAAACCATGGAGCGTAGTATACGCTGATTTTTGTGGTCCATTTCCCACAGTAGAAACTGTTCTAGTCGTTATTGACAGTTACTCTCGCTATGTGGAGGTAGAAATAATGAAACGTACGACCACTACAGCAGTTGTTTCGCGTCTCAAAAAAAAATATTCGCCAGACACGGTTACCCAGATGAATTGACAAGCGACAATGGGCCCCCATTTAACGCTGCAGATTTTGATGCTTTTCTAAATCAAAATGGTGTTCGCCACAGGAAAATCACCCCTTACTGGCCGCAAGCTAGATCAAGCTAATGCCGAAGCGGAGCGTTTCATGCGCACATTAGAAAAAGCTGCACGAGCCGCCCATATCGAAGGAAGAAGATGGCAAGATGAGTTAGATACTTTTCTTTTGAATTACAGGTCAACGCCGCATTGCACAACTGGTATCAGCCCGGCAGAGTTTCCATTCAATCGAAAAATTCGGAATAAACTGCCAAGTGTGGACCGGTTAGACCCCATGCCCTCAGATATCGAAGACAGCCATGAAAAAGCTATCAACAACGACTCTAAGAGAAAGGAGAAGATCATGCAAAGAACATTAATCTTCAAATAGGAGATTATGTCTTAGTCCGACAGCAAAAGAAAAATAATCTACCCCATTTGGTAAAACGCCATACAGAGTAACAGAAATAAAAGGGACAATGATCACTGCGACTAGCGAAGATAGCGGCAACATTACCAGAAATGTTTCAGTGTTTAAACAAATCCCAAACCCAAACCTTGAACCACAAGATCAAATTATCGAGGATTTTCATGGTGATATGCCTAACACCGAATTACAGGTACCTAAACCACAACACTACGGAGGATTTGCAACGCTACGGAGCAAATCCTCCGTAGTGTTGTGGTTTAGGTAACACCGAATTGACGCGCAGATATCCAACTCGCAACAGAAGTCCAGAATTTTATAATAGTTCACAGACATAGTATGAACCTATACAAACTTGAAGTTTTAGTTGTTGAGTTGTTAATTATGAATGTTTTATTCTAAAAGGAAAGGAGGGATATAGTATTGTGACGTACAGGTCACATGATCTAGTCACGGGACAGTGAACACAAGTACTGTTGTATCGAGCAAGGAAAGCGAGGACGGATCTAGGACATTCACATTAATCATTTAAATATATTATTTTATTACAAACCGACTTCATTATAGTAAGGTCGTGTATTTTGAAAAGATTTATATAAACTAACCATCGCGTAGACACAAGCCTAGTTCAAATCAGATCCTAAAGTTTTTGTAAGTTAATTATGTAAAAAGATAATTAGACAAAATTCAGTACATATACAAAGTCGCCAGCTGTGATAAAAATATATTGGTTTACCTGCGCAGTTTTTAAGATGATCTTCCATAACAGGATCAACCGTTGCCATATGCTCAATAAATTCTTTAAATACGCCGTTGTTTAGTGAACTTCGCCTTCCGGATGGCCTCTGAAGGGTAAATTAAGTCTCCCCAGCAATCGAACAACACCCAGAATTTTTCCAATTATAGTCCGATTTTTCTTAACCTAAAAATACAAAGCAACATTAGAAAGGAATGACATTACAGATTCAGAGGAATTCGAATGTTCGTTGATTCAATATACAATACAGCAAGGCAAAAAGAACATTGACTTGAAAAACATACTTTTAGCTGACGGTAAGACTCTTCTCTCTGCATCTTCGCTAAGTTGGTGATCTACCGGTTTGTGGCTTTTCCAAATGCGAAACGACTTGAGAGAGTTCTTGTGGCACTCGGAACTTTCGTCTTTCTTAAAAGCCTCACTTTTTTTCCAGTTATTAAATCCAGTTTTGATGAATGCGGGCCCCCCCTTTGAACGAGACCTACAAATAAATAAATGATATAATAGTTTTAGAGGTTGTATAATATACAAAATAATTATATCTTTATCATTGACTCTAACGATCAGTTGTTTCAAATGTAATATCGCCAGACGTGTTTACTCAAAATATACGATGTGTTATATACCTGTCCGTTGAAAACTCGGCAGTAGAAACAAAAGCTATATCAGATGACTTTGAATACTCATCCACGATGAGAGAAATTTTCGATTAAATCTGTCTTTTGGATAATCTACGTCGGTTGGCTGGCATGGTCCTTTTTTATAACGTGGTCTCTGGCTGCTCTTCCAATGGGCAAGGGAAACAAGGATCAAATTCGTAGGTTGAAAGATCTTCTGGTGGCGCGTTAGCCATTAAAAGTCAGTCAACCCGAATTTACAACTTTGTATTTGTGTTGATACTTGCTTGCGTAACTTCTTTGTCAAATAACACAGCACTCTCACTTATATACTTTGACGAATATTTAGACTACATTTATATAAAAGGGGCAGTCTGGGTTGGGCATGCTAGAATATACAGTATGATGAATATTCTGCGTAGATAGACATTTCGCTTTTTAGTACATGCCAATACAATATTTTACAGTTTATCAATGAAATTGCCATAACTGCATATTAAAGTGAGAAATACCAATAGTTTGATAAAAGCTTGGAATGACTGATTTTACAAAACGTCTCGGAAACAATACGAACTGACATTACTGACTACAGATTACGCTGTCACCGAGTACAGAAATTTCTGCTATTAAAAATATTATAGTTCACCGCAAACACTCGATAGTTTATACACAGACATTTATAGTTCACTAGCTGGCTCTCGCCGGCTTGGCTGGCATGTTACCTCTGGAGCAAAATTTCAATCTTACTTTATTATTTACTATTTATTGGGCCATGTTAACCTTGCTCTATCGCGATATAATAATACAAGAATAAGCTAGCTGGTATAGACTGCGAGTGGTCTCTCCTTTCCGCGGGTTATACCGCGATATAATAATACAAGAATAAGCTCGCTGATATAATTCAGCTGCTGACTTGTAATTTTATATCAAAACTATCCACTGGCATCTATTCATGTATACATCGCTCCGTATCTTTGATAGATAAAGCACTGTGCTATAATACTATCAACCTCAGTTGTAATACACTCTAGTCTACACGATTTCACAAAAGTCTCCGCTCGTCCATGTCCGCCATTCTAAAATGATAATATATATTCTATGATATGAGAGCACGTGTATTATGCACGTGTATTGATGTTGCAGGGGGCATATCATATAATAACAAGTGCTTGAAATGCAACAGTAATTTCGTTATAACTTCTCTAAATGATATTTGTGATGTTACTCTGAGTGTATATCCACACCGGGCGAACTTGAAAAATATGCCCGGCCACGGTGGGATTCGAACCTACGACCTTTGGATACTAGCCCAATGCTCTTCCAACTGAGCTACGCGGTCAGGACGGTTCGAGTACATGTAAGTGATATTTCGGAACAGAATCTAGTTCCTTCGATACCAATGTATTCTAGTAATATTATTTTTTTTCTGTGTTGGTGTTGTGTACTCAGGTGAATATGATATTTGTGATGTTACTCTGAGTGTATATCCACACCGGGCGAACTTAACATGTGTCAACATGGGTTCATGGCCGGGAGATCTTGCATATCAAACCTCATCGACACTCTTGACTACGTTGGATCGTGTTTAGACAGTGGAGGACATATAGACATGATTTATATGGATATGTCAAAGGCATTCGACAAGGTCGATCATGATGTATTAATACGAAAGCTGCAGAAAGACTATGGTTTTGGAGGTAATCTCCTCAGATGGGTTCGTTGCTATCTAGAAAATCGTAAACAACGCGTTACAGTGTTAGGAGCAACGTCAGACCTACTTCCTGTCACGTGTGGTGTACCGCAAGGTTCAATACTTGGTCCAGCATTGTTCCTCCTCTACGTCAATGATCTGCCAAGCAATGTGAAGTCAAGTCGTGTTGCAATGTTTGCGGACGATACCAAAGTCTTCAAAGCAATACAATCGCCCAATGATGCAATAAAGTTACAGGAAGATATCACTAACTTGGGGATCTGGTCATCTGAATCTGGCTTACAATTCAACGAAGCAAAATGCAAGGCACAATCCATTACCCGTAAAACCAATCCAATCCCTACCACCTATTTTATGAATGACGCTCCACTAGCATCAATTAAGCATGAACTTGATCTTGGTGTCTGGATATCTTCCGATCTGACATTGAACAAGCATGTCAACGAACAGTGTGGACAAGCAAATAAAATGCTTAGCTACATCAGACGGAACACACGAACAATTAACAGCATTAAAACAAGAAGAACCATTTACCTGTCACTGGTACGATCACATCTTGGTTACGCGACGCAAGTCTGGACACCTCAATCTACCGAACTTCTGCTCAAACTAGAAAAACCTTAAAGACGTGCAACAAAATACATTCTTAATCTTCCATTTATTAGTTCAGTAAATTACAAATCCAGATTGCAAACTCTCCATCTACTGCCCATATGTTACTGACATGAATACCTTGATATGATTCATTTCTTCAAAGTAACTCATGGCATTACCAGTTCGTCCTTTGCCTTGCACGCCAAGACAACAAGATATACAAGATCGTCCACTAACACGAAAGGTGTAAAGTACGAAGTCCCGCGGTGCAAAACAACAACCTACCAAAGATGATACTGGATAAGAACCATCAGAACATGGAACACATTGACGGTCATACTTGACTTGAGTATGGTGAACTTCAACACATTCAAGTCGGTAATGCGAGAGTACTACCATACTGCATTAACGAATACATACGATTGTGATGATGTACGAACTTTTAAAACGATTTGCCCGAAATGCAATAGAGCAAGGACTTTAAAAAACTCGATGAACTGTTGTTTTTAGCCTCTATGGTTTAATTGTTATTTGTGTTATTGATATTTGTCTCTTAACGTTTTGGGCCCGCAGTAATTGGTTTCAGGCTGTTGCGGATACCCAACCATCAACTCAGTTTATGTCATTGTGTTATGTATGTATAGTTGTGTATGTGTGTGTATGTTTCTGTACAGTAGTGATGGAAAAGCAATTAAAAAAACAAAAAAACTTGAAAAATATGCCCGGCCACGGTGGGATTCGAACCTACGACCTTTGGATACTAGCCCAATGCTCTTCCAACTGAGCTACGCGGTCAGGACGGCTCGAGTAAGTGATATTTCGGAACAGAATCTAGTTCCTTCGATACCAATGTATTCTAGTAATATGATTTTTTTTCTGTGTTGGTGTTGTGTACTCAGGTGAATATGATATTTGTGATGTTACTCTGAGTGTATATCCACACCGGGCGAGCTTGAAAAATATGCCCGGCCACGGTGGGATGCGAACCTACGACCTTTGGACCCTAGCCCAATGCTCTTCCAACTGAGCTACGCGGTCAGGACTTATGGAAATTCTTTTCAATGTGGTGGTGACCATGCAATAAACAGAAATGACGGAAGTAGTTTTGTTTTATTTCTTTAAAACTTAAAATTTCTATTTCATCGTGACTCGGGAGAGTCTAAAAGACAAACCTTGATTTTTCCATCCTGCCCACCAGAGGCTAACATTTCACTATCTCGACTGAATGTCAGACACAACACTGCATCCTCCTTCATCATGAAGTTATCCTGAATAAAAATTACCAAAATTGGTCATTCTGTTTACTCATTTTCATAAATCCAATTTGCAGTAATATCGGTTTACAGTAAGTGGGGTCACATAGAGAACACTAACCAATTGCATTGCAAAACAAAAAGAACAATCTAATCAAACTAAAGCTCGTCCAATCAAAAGAAAGATTCAGGAAGCCATTAACTGCAGTGTTTACTTTTACAAGTCTATTTTCACCGTTTGACATTCGTTTATTTGTTCACATTTTTTTGGCCTAATGCTGATTGGCTAATGCGCCGTTTTCAATTTTTGTTCTGCAATGTGATTGGTTAGTGTTCTCTAAGTGGCCCCACTTACTGTAGACGCCCTGTAAAGCCTGATTCACACATATCCCTGCGACGTGCCTGCGACGTACCGGCGACGATATCGGTGCTAGCTTTAAAACGTAAATTATGTGAAGATTTGTTCGCCGATTGCCGCCAGTGCCTCAGTTACATCGGCGGTAGGCCGGGAAAGTTGACTTGAGTTCAACTTTGCCGGTATTTCGGCGGTAAGTAGAGGCATAATGATACAGTCGCAGGCATACCGCAGGGATATGTGAACCAGGCTTTAGGGAGTTTAAGCTTCGCGTTTTCGGGAACGCCAAACGGCAGATTCGAACTTTCTTGGCAAAATTTTCGTTGAACGTTTTCGTTTCATATTTTCTTTGCTGTGTCGAAAGAATAATCATGCATTGCAGTTTTAAAACAGCAAGTTCATTTACTCTTTATTGCCTGATACCGTAAAATTTTTCTTTGTCTGGCGTTTGCCGTTTGACGTATAACGCGAAGCTTAAACTCTCTATTATTTGTTCATTTACCCTGGACCTACCTGTGCTTGATATTTCAAGTCTTTTCTTATTTTTCCCGTCGTAAAATTCCAGACCTCGATAAAACCGTCGACACTACCAGTCACCAAGTACTGTCCATCGGGCGAGAACAAACCACATTCTGGATGGGATTTCGAACCAAACTAGGACATTTATGTATAGAGAAATATTCTATAAATGTTCACAAGATCAGGGGTGTACGGTACCCAAATGAGTGAGGGGTCCTTTCCGGAAGGGTGTGTTATTGCCACTGTCCATAACCTTACAAAACAAAAATACAGCATACACAATAAAAACAAATTGGTTAAAATGTCCAATTCAGTATTGGTCATTCCGACCAATACATAATTGGTTGCATTTTCAACCAATTTCAAATGGTAAATTTAATTTCTTTTGGTCACTCAATGTTGAATGACCCAAAATAACCAATAAAAATCGGTCATATCTGTAACCAATTTAAAATTGGTCATATGCATAATCAATTTTAAATTTGCCAAATCCATAATTACCTTGACAGTTTTATTGAGATGTGTTGGATATTTTTCCTCTTCCTCGTCGCGTACAGCTGCCTTGCCTCGGAACACATGAATGGAAGTACCAGGAGGTAGTAGTCCTTGATACTGTTGCCATTTCAATGCCTGACCAAGCAGAGCTAGCAAGCGAGATGGTGGAACCACCGACACCTCACCGGATAAAGCTGGGAAGTAAAGGAAACCGATTTATCTGTGGTTACCGATATTTGTTAACAGGAATTTTTAACACTCAAAATTGGGGCAAAATGCTAGCAAAATATTACAAAAGTTAACAGGCCAGTAACAGAAATGTCGTTACGATAGTCGAGGAAGAGATTGACTCAATTTACAGTGGTAATCAATTTATTTCGGAAAAGTATCCTGGTAAATGACTAACAGCGTAAGTAGATCTGACAGTTCCTTTATGAAAGAGAATCTGTTTGACAAACCCACATAGTTTTTCTTGACAAAGAAGAGTAAATATCACAAGTAAAAGCCAGAATTATATTTATTGGACGGCCGGTACATGGTAATATATGTCAATGTGATTAGCCGATAACCGATCTGCCTGAAAGTTGCAGATTATCGGTTTCTACGGATTAATTTCCTAGTAACTTTCCAAGGCAATACCTTGGGCAATTGCGGCTCTTCTTCGTTCTTTACTACTTCCCTCAGGGTATGCCTGCGAGAAAAACAGCACAACTTAAATGAACTAAATCTTTACATTTCATGGCCAGTTCCTTGACAATGGCCTTGCAGCGAACTGTGGTAGTCACATTCACCTATCCGTAGCTATAAATTCCACAATAACATTCATGGCCACTCACCTCCCTTGGATCAAAATAAGATCTTGCCAGTAAGTTTTCCAAATGTAGGATCTATCAGGTTGTTGCGACTTTAACATAATCATTGGATCTGTCTGACGAAGTAATGATCTGGCAGCACCAAGTTCACGAAGCTCAATTAATTCAAGCACAATCTGAATGAAGCATGCAACATTAGCCATTAGGCTGTCAAGTGTCGTTCTTTCATATGGTTGGAAAAACAAAATGTACTCAATAATAGATGAAATATTATCTAATTTCCTTCTGCCCTCTTATTTGGGAGAGAAATTAATTTCCATTCAGTTAAATAAGTTCAGGTATTAAATACTTTCATTTGGTTCAGGGGAAAAAAAAACAGAAAAAATATTTTTGTATCTACATGTCTTCACAGACATCTGCCTTCTGTTCAACTAATCAAGCATGTGCACAAATACTGTAAATCTCAGACTATGAGCCCTGGGCGATTTTTGATGGCCTTATGCAAGGGGGGGGGGCTTATATATGGGGGGGGGGGCTGATCATGGACGATCTTTTGTGTTAGTAATAAACAAGTCGGTCATAAACAAGAAAATAAACATGTATTAATAACACGCATTGATTAACATAGTAAGCTATAAAGACAATGACAATGTTTTTAAATATTGTTCTCTGCTATATTAAAAGACACTGTCAATGCTGAATAACGTAGTGGGCCACTGGGCTTATATTCAGGGGACTTATATTCGGTGGGGGGGGGCTTATATTTGGAATGAGGTGAGCGTTAGTATGTGGTGGGCTTATATTCGGGGAGGTAGGGGCTTATAGTCGGAGGTTTACGGTATGTGGAATTATTAACATTTTTTTTCAATATTACCGAGTTTTCGAACAATTTTTTTCTTCTGATTTTTTCCCTGCTTTTCATTTTTTTCAGGTTTGTTCCCAGACCAACATTGGTTGAATTGTTTTTTGAAAACCTATTCAACCGATGTTGAGTTTTCAAACTGAGTTTTTCCTACCTGTTCATAAAGCTCAATAAGAGTTTTGTCAGGTAATTTCAGAGGTTGACGTACAGCTTGAAGCACTGTATCCCAATGGCCGTTGTTGATTTCCGTCACAAATCCCTCAACACTGTCGACTGTATTCAGAGTTATACCAGATTCTTCCTGCATAAGATTAGTTTGCAATGATTAGTAAACTGGACAGTTTGAACCCCATGTCCTGTTTATGCCTATTTTGCTGGCAGGCAAGTTCCGATTATACAAAAGAATGTGTTCTCCGTTGGGCATGCCTGTATATTTAGTTTTTTTGCAGGTAGCCAAAAAAATTTTGCAGTTAGCCCAAAAGCCCTCAAGCGAGTCAAATCCTGTGACTATTTTATATTCACAGTCTGTGAATTCTGTTTCTTGCTGGCTCGGGCCTCTTCTAACATGTAACTCCAAACTTTTCTTTTCCGTTCACAACATGGGTTTTTAATAAGAGCACCGCCACGATCACCACTCTTTATCTGGGTTAGCTTAAAATGCTCATCAAAACCAGCCTTTCTGGACCAACTCTTCTTGCAGTCTCCACAATACACCCTCTTATTCATTTACTTTATTAAAAATTCCTTTTCCATATAACATTTACCCTTACAATTATAACATTAAAACAAATTATGCTAAAATGTCAACAACATGTCCTCACTAATAAACTATCAACTCGGTTTCTTGATAGTTTATTAGTGAGGACATGTTGTTGACATTTTAGCATAATTTGTTTTAATGTTATATATTGTAACTTATTGTGAGGGGCCCCATAATTGGAGATTATATCTGTGGCTAGTCCCTGCCCGAATTGTATGTAAATTTTGTAAAGTATTAGTCTTATTTATGTCTGTTATGTTTGGCGAATCTTGTAAAAAAAAAAAAAAAAAAAATTTGCATAGTTTGTTGCTCGATGAATAATTCAACTTATTTAAATTTTTGAAATTCTTAAATGTCATTGTCTAGCGCACGAAAAATATGCGGGCTCGACTGGCCAGCGGTTTACATGCAATGTTCTTAGTAATACTTAAATAAATGTAAATTGTGAAATAATAAATAATATTCAAAGAATAGAAATCCAGAAAATGTAAATATTGCAATTAGTTTGTGGAAAATTTTAAGTATTTTTTTAGTTAGTATGCATAAAAACTTCAGAATTCAGACAAGGATTGCACTTAGCTTCAGACACTTGCAGGTAGCGCCACTACCTAGGATACCCTGTTTTGACAGGCATGCCGTTGGGATGCAAGAGGTCAGTACTCATTTCCAACCACAAAACTGATCCAGTGTGGGAAGTTTGTATTGGACACAACTGAGATATATCGGACAAGATATTTTAACACTTTCTATATTATTTACTGCTAGATTTTCGAAAAAATCTAGGCCGCGCAGAAGAGGTGTTAAATGGCTATGTAACATAGTTGCCAACTTTGGGAAAAAACAATCCGTGAGATTTTGCTTTGGTGGGCCCACAAGGCGCCGAGCGGAAAAATTTGAGAAAAAGGATTCTCTAGATCGTTGGAAATGGCATTTTCAGAGTCTTCTATACCTTATACACACAAATTTTGGTAGCTTTTATTTAGATATAGCTGTTTATATGGGGCAAGGCCAGCACGAAAGATGATACTTTAAAAAGCACAACAAAGCTGTAGTCAGGCTTGTAGCCAGGCAAAAATATTTGCCTGCCAGTGCCTACAAAACGTGAACATGTATGATGTATTTGACAGCATTACTTGTAATATTTTACGAGTAAAAGTACTTGCGTGTATTCAATGATTACTCGAGTACGGCAAGATGTAAAATTTCCCCGCATGGTTAATATATTATGAATTCAAATATTCAATTATTTCAAATTTCCAACCACCTTACCTGTAAAACAACCAAGGTTCTTGGCAGATTATTCTCTTTCAAATATTGTTCAATTAACCTTACGACACTAGAAAGATACAGCAAGACAATCGAGTAAGTTTTGTAAACAAATCTATACAGAAAGGAAAAGAAATTACTTTATAACCTACAAAAACTTACTCCGCACTTTCAACTTCCAGCGCCATCTTGGAAATTTCGATTACTGAGACCGCGATTTTTGTTGTTTGTTTGCCATTACTTCATGTTAAATAGAAGTTTATTAGCCCCACGGTCATCACTTGGCCTTTCTCACGAAGGCCAAAATCCGCCATATTTGGGGTAAAGTCTGCCCTCTTGAAAGATGCTAGACAATTCAAACAACGTGAAAAGCAACTTTTAAAAGTTGTAACTGTAAATTTACCATTATACAAACAACTACAATAATAAAAAGTCGCATTTCATGGTGTGGAGACTCTCAAACGTGGAAGAGGTGTTGGGTTTTGGGGTGCAGCCATTTAACAACCTGAGACGACAACTTTAGTGCTCAACACTTTTATTCACTCTGACTTTACATAACGAAATCACATCTATATATAAAAGATTACATGATTATACACTTAGGATATATTATATTACGTTTTCATTCGTATTACCATATTAGGTTTATCGTTGGATAATCATTACAACATATATATGTGTGGAATGTATGGAATTATGTTCCTGTGTCATCTTCTCTAATCGTATATCTTTATATAATCATATTAATTACTAACAGTCGATCATCAGAATATTATAGAGCATACTTTAACAAGAGGCAGTCCCCACAAAATGGCGGGAAAATCGGCCGTGAGAACGGCTAATTAGCCGTTCTAATTAGCCGTTCTAATTAGCTAATTAGAACGGCTAATTAGCTAATTATAACGACTAATTAGCTAAAATTTATTTAAATGAACATGATTTCTTATCGCATATATTCGTTTTAAAAATAATATTAAATCCACAATTTAAGAGTGAGGAAGTTTATTATTTAATATTCATAAACCATAGCCTATCGAAGGGAAGATGGCTGTGAAACTCGTTAGAATAACAATATAACTCATTATCTATGTTAGTCAACTTTTATTCATAAATCTAGTCGTTTCACCGTCACGTGTGTATTGTATTTTTACCAAATCCACCAATAGCAATTTCCAGTTTCCCTATTGTTCGAGTCACGGATAGCTGACTTTCCTAAAACATTGCTATTGGTTAGTTGGGCAAGAGTACAATACACACGTGACGGTGAAGGACCAAATTTATGAATAAACGTTGACCAACATAGATAATGAGTTATATTGTTATTCTAATGAGTTTCACAGCCTGACAGCCATCTTCCCTTCGATAGGCTATGCATAAACGAAGATATATAAAAGGTGACTTGACTAATACGTTTTAATACACTTACAGTAAGACAAAGCACTTCTAAGTCTGACCATGTCATATAGTTTGTTTTATATACTAAGGATTACATTAAAAAATACAGTATTTTAATACAAGTACGGAAATGTTTCGGTTCTCTGTAGAATACACTCTTTCGATAATTACGTCACAATTACACTGTTTTCAACTAAGGAGTTAGGACCACCTTAAATCATAGGCGTCGAAAGTGGGGGGGGGGACCATATTCATATATTCGTCTTCTGCATTATTAATTTCTTTTGAAATCGATTGTTTTTAAGGTCTGTGAACACGAATATATCTTTCGGCGCCTATGCCTTAAATCGTTAAATGGAAAGGATTTCAAGGGTTTTTTTCTCATAGGCTATGCACAGAGGTCATGCATGACCTGGAGCCTCGTTTTCGTGTTAATGCTTATTCCCAATTTATTGATCAAAATCCAGAATTTTTTTCGCGCACGTGTTGCAGAAGGATGTTCTGCTTCTCTGTGCATAGCATAGATATCTTATATACACTAGATAGCGCATCTCTTTTAGTAAAATTGAAGCCAAGACTATTCCAGCGGTTACTCCCATTTGAATAGATGGCGGCAATGCTGGTCGTTCCCACTTGCTAATAAACACTTAAAAACAACAATAACTTTCATCATTTGAATATTTTAAAAACGAATTTGGAATAGGGTTAACTTAATGTTTAAGCTCTCTGTTTAAGAAATAGGAAACATACGAATCTTCTAATTTCATGGGAACGACCTGAGACTGCAGCTCAGTTGGAAGAGCATTGGGCTAGTATCCAAAGGCCGTAGGTTCGAATCCGGGCATATTTTTCAAGCTCTCCCGGTGTGGATATACACTCAGAGTAATATCACAAATATCATATTCACCTGAGTACACAACACCAATACAGAAAAAAACTTCTCTAAATGTCGGATAAATAAGTAAGAACATGTTCCATCTGAATATAAATATAGATTGTTATAATCTACAAACAGCTATGAACGATTAGTTGGCCGAACGTCGCGAAGCTCTAAAAAACGTAATAAAAAATCATTCGCAAGCTCCCCCCGGATTGTTTACTCTATAGATCGATCGGTCACTGAATTGAATTTAACCTCATAACAATAGTGCAAAGCAACTTTGCACTAAAAAGGAACGGGTAAAAGGAGCGAGTAATTAAAAAAAAGAGCGGGTAATTTGAGTAATTTCCCAGGTGCTAAGCGCCGGTGGGGAATTTTAAAGAAAAAAAAGACATTTTTTTATGAAAGTGTAACGACATGAGGACCATTTTTATTAAGTGAAACCATTGACTTCACATAAAAATCTCGAAAATTCTATCAAATGTTAAATTGACAGATATTTAACAGCCTGAACATGTCTTATTATGACGTGCTGAAAATACGTACACACCAGCGCAACGTTTTTGGGTCACGGAATGGACAAAAATTATTATAACATGCACAAGTGCCACTCAAAACTCTACAGTCTGTCTCGGCTATTGCCTCACCAAACTGTGGAAAACTATGAACATATTGAACACGGTTTGCACGGTTAGGGTTTAGGTTTGCAGAACACCATTGCATTTATTCAGAAACTGATAGTGGTGTAGCATATATACACATTTTTAGACTACACGTACAATAGAGCAAAAGTTTCCAAACACAGGGTGTTTTAATAAGGCGCTCACGTTCAGTTTAAACCAGTGAACTCTAAAGCCCTGTTTACACTACGCTCAATTTTTGGTACGGCACGGATAAAATCGGTACCCGTATTGGTACGGTGGTTCTTTTAAGAACCAAAAAAGTGGTACGGTACCAAAAATTGAGCGTAGTGTAAACGGGGCTTAAGGGAACTGGAAAGATAACTTAGCCGCCATCTTTGAAGCCACTCGTGATGGCCGCCATGTACGTAAGGCATGTACGTATATAAAAAACCGGATGACTAAAAACTTGAAATTCGGATAAATTTATAGTAAAAAATGGTTTATAGTTTCCTTTGCTCCATAGAGTTTGTAATGCATATATAACCACAGTTTGGTGAGGCAATAGCCGAGACAGACTGTAGAGTTTTGAGTAGCACTTGTACATGTTATAATACTTTTTGTCCATTTTGGTGACCCAAAAACGTTGCGCTAGTGTGTACGTATTTTCAGCACGTCATAATAAGACATGATGTTCAGGCTGTTAAATATCTGTCAATTTAACATTTGATAGAATTTTCGAGATTTTTTATGTGAAGTCAATGGTTTCACTTAGTAAAAATGGTCCTCATGTTGTTACACTTTCATAAACAAGTACGATCGTACTATAGTGGACCAGGAACTGCGTGACACAGTTTCGATCTTGTGCAAGTCGTTAAATGTTCAAAACCGTCGAGATTTGACTTGATAAAGAAATAACTAGACACTTTAGTCTCAAAATTGCATGGCAGCGTAGACTGAGTTCGATAAATGTTTTGCTTTAATTTGGTCATGCAAGATAAACTTCATCCGAGCAAAAAATGTGTCTTACTCTAGTCATGCCGTGTATAAATGAGTGTAAATCTGGACAAAGCATATAGATAACTAAATGCGCAGTTTTCAAAAGTAACTATATACTCGGTATTGGAATTAGATAAGTTAAATGTCCCACAGTATTAAGACTAAACATGCCGTGTCTAAATTTAACTTTTGCCGTAACAAATTTTGCCGTGCCGTGCGTGCCATTGCAAAATATTGCAGCTACAGTCGTGTATACGTGCCGTGTAAACGGGACTTAAGTTAAGGTAACAAATTATCTGCATGAATTGTTGCTATAGTATAGGTTAATGTAGCCTGTAAAAACTACAACGTAAAAACTACAACGTCTGTGAGCAGGCTAAGGTTAATGCAGATCATTTCGCTTGGTTATATGGCTTCATAACTGCATGCTTAAGCTAAAAACAAATTGACATGTCTTTGTTTTTATGGTTCGCGATTTTCTGGCTATGCATGACTATGAATATTATATGATAGCCACATAGAAGTATAGTACTCCTCTGCGCTTTGAGAAACTAAACCAGCGTGTTAAATTAGTCAACTTAATTAAGTCTTAACGCTTATAATTAATCGTTATAATTAGCCGTCCACATTCTTAAGAAGCTTTAGACTATTGTGATTGTGTTCACAACGAACAATAGAAAAGACAATGTCCTTCGCATTTAAATATGTGATATACTAAAAGATGTTCGCAAAACGGTGGGAGTTGAACTTCGCCTAATCATGTTTTCTACTTATTGGATGATAGGGGTGTGAGGGGTTCTCCGCCAGGCGATTGTACTATTCTTGAAGCTCCATGACTGCATTTCTTGCATTTTCTGAAGCAAATTCTTAAAAAAAATGCGCTAACATTTCTGACAATTCGCTATTTCGCCAATGCAATCCTTTAAACTGAAAGGGCACCTTTACCCCCCTTGTCCCTCCTGGTAAAGGGCAACGGGGGCGGCTGCCCCTCCTGCCCCCCCCCCCCCAGTTCCGCCGTCCCTGATGATATATCTTTATGCGTTTGCTTCGTTTTTAAGGAACACGGTTTATATATACATACGAATTGATATTTAAAACACACAAAACTCTGCCCCAGTAAATATGATACATATATACTTCATGAGTTTAAACGCACCATGATCAGTATTTAAAACACGCTCAGTTGGTGCAAATATATGCATGATATACTTCATCAGTTTGAATGGAAATGAACAATGCAAGATGTAACTATATTAAAATTTAAGTCCGACATTACATAGTAACTAGTTTATCAAAGAAGGCAAAAATATATACAAGACAACCTCACATGTGAAATCTGTTCACTTACGCGCAGCCTTGTGATGCAGCAGGCACGGATTTTCTGGGGGGGCGAGGGTATGCAGGCCTAAAAAACAGGTTTTTTTAAACATTTTCCTTGGTCTTTCCGGACGTTGCCACCGGGCCCCGGTCAAAGCAAGCAGCAGCACCCCCCAGATATTTATCCACCCCCCGGAACGAAAATATGAAAATCCGTCTCTGCGATGCAGTACAAGTACAAATACAAATAACAAAGCATTGTTAATTAAGGCATTAAATCCTAAAACATAATTAAATTATACGGCACATTTAAGATTTTAATATCGTATTTTGCGGCGTTTATACTGCTCGGCGCGCATTCGCTGCGTTATATTAATTTATATACCTATGTTATATACACAGATTTATTACTAATAAGTCAACACTATATGATAAATACAACTCACAAAGTGCAGACACCTTTTTATAAAATAAACCTTTAAAAGCATGTCATTGTCGACCAGAGGCAAAAAGCACAGCCCCATGCCAAGTTTAAGCAATCGTGAGATTATATACATGCCGGGAAAAAAAAATATGTGGGTTTCCGGTTTCTTCTTATAAAAACTTAGGTAGGGTAGGTCGGTTTTAACTTTTTTTTTAAACTTTTTTTAAAATTTTCCGAACAAGCGGACGACATTTTGTTTAGTCAGTGCTTCCGCATCCAAAGATAAATTTTCCTAATATTGCGTCAAAATTCAATTTTCCACAAACTTTTTGCTCTAAGTCGAAATACAAGCATGATCCAATAAAAAAGTTTAGGGTCAGGACAGGATTTCGACGTCGAAAAGCTAGGTAGGGTCGGGAAACCCGAAAGCCACATATTTTTTTTGGCCTGGAAAGAATATGGAAATTATGTTAAAAGCACCCCGTATAATGCCCGAACCACTGCGTAGCTATAATGGCAAACGCACCGCGTGTATAATGGCGAAAGCACCACGTATAATGCTCGAACCACTGTGTATAATATCGAAAGCACCGCGTATAATGCTCGAACCACTGCGTATCGACAAAATGCCGTTTGATCACTTACGCCGGCTATGGCTTTCCGCTAAAGAAAACCAAAGATCAGGAAAGTGAAGTGAAGTGAAGTGAAAGGCTTTATTTACTGAGGGTAACACGTGACAGTTAGAAACTGATAAACTTGTGGCCCTCAAAATTTACAAAATTTAAGATATTAGAACACAGTCCTATTTAAAGTTAAAATTATTAAAACACGACCCTAACGCTGCAACCTATTTGCACATTTTTGATCATCTAAAAACTGTTTATAAATACTACGCCTAAAGCTAAAAGCAGAATGTATACTTCTAACGTTCAAATCTAATTTGTTCCAGTCTATAATTGTTCTTACAGTGAAGGTTCTGCCTCCTTCTGTTTTACGATTGTAAATTGGGCATAGCATATTCAAATTCGAATAACGTGTATTCCTACTATGCCTGTCTGAATTTCGCGCTAAAAGTGAATTTAGATAGCTAGGAGTATTATAAGCACTATTTACACGCTTATACGCTAACATTATTCTCTTGATCAAAGACTCCTTGGTAAAAGGAAGCCAATTTAAAGTGTTAAACATAACAATTGAAGGTGCCATCTTTTCTGCATCCAAAATAATCCGGGCTGCCCGCTTTTGAAGTTTCAATACTCTTTGAAAACATTCAGCATTGCAATTATCCCAAATTACACTCCCGTACATCATCGTAGGCTTTATAACACCATTAAAGTACAACTCCCTTTGCTGTTACCTGAGGTACGGACTAATGTGTTTGAGAAGACCAAGCTGTTTCGAGAGTTTCCGGCATAATCGATCAATATGTTCTTCATAATTTAATCTATTGTCAATCGTTACTCCAAGGAGTTTTTGACAATTTACTTCAGTAATCTGTGTATCATCCACTTTAACTGCTATGTCCATATTCCCTTTTTCTAAGATTTTCTTTTCAAGACGCTTTCCTGATATAAGCATAAACTTTGTTTTTTCGTCGTTAATACTCATCTTATTTTGAATCGACCACTGATTTAAGGCAGCAAGATCACAATTTATATCATGGACCATTGAGGGAATATCATTCCAATGAGTACTTGCAGATAAGGTTGTATCGTCCGCAAATATATCAACTGATGAATGTGATAGATGGAGTGGAATGTCGTTTACATATAGAAGAAACAGTATAGGTCCCAGTACTGAACCCTGCGGCACACCATGATTAACAGGCAAACGACTTGACTGCTGTCCATCAATAGTTACAAATTGCGATCTTCCAGTGAGATAAGATGTGAACCATTTGATTGCTGAATCAGCTACTCTATACAAGTGTAATTTAGACAATAGGACTTGATGGTCTATTAGATCAAAAGCCTTTTTAAAATCAACAAAAGCCATAAGAGTAACTTCGTCTTTATCCATATTAAGTAATATTTGATCTGTAAGATTGATTAAGGCTGTCTCTGTAGAGTGTCCTTTACGAAAAGCAGATTGTCGTTCGTAGAGTAACCCATTGTTGGTAAAGTAATCCATAACGGATCTAGCAACATGTTTCTCGCATATTTTAGAAATGACCGGTAGCACAGATATAGGTCTATAATTGTTTTTATCATCACGTAAGCCAGATTTATGTAAAGGTGTTACCCGTGCTATTTTCCATTTTGTAGGAAAAATGCCTTTGTCTAGTGACATATTTAAAAACTTTGTTAATGGATGGGAAAACACCG